AACAAATTTTTTCTACAGTATTTACATTAGTCGACCAAGCATAGAAATAAATACAATATGGGAACCAGTAATAAGGAGTGCCAGAGAAAAGAAATGATAACAAAGTTGCGATATGAACTCTGGTAAAGACATGCAATGATAACAGCAAAATTGCAATATGAGCACTGGGAAAAATGATGCTGAAAACATTAGGTTTATAATACTCAGAAGTTCATACCCAGATGTCCTTAAGGACACATAGCACAGTGGATAAAGGCGTTGGTTAGATCCAGTGACAGACCCAAAGAAGGCGAGTTCAATACCTGGTTAAGGCAGTGGAGGACTTTCTAGAGGGAAAATTAGCAGGAGATAACTGATAACTGACATCCATCAAAACATGGCACGTGGAACTAGAACAGTCTACCCCAGTGATCGAAATAAAGGTTTCAGTTCGAAATTCCAACCACCTGAAGAAGGCCGGAGCGTACAACGGCCGAAACGTTGTGACAAATATGGCGACAAAGATGTAAATACTGTACATAATACCTCATCTCAGAAATATAAACAAATTTTTTCTACATTATAATATCTATGATTTTACGCAAAATGTATCGAAGGTCGGTGAAAACATGTTATTACAATTAATAATGAATATATAATGGCATAAAATATGATTGTAGGTGGTTATTTGAAGAATAAAGTTAACGAACACAAACGGAAATTATTTATGATTCCAGCTTTTGTCCTAGATGTAAATTTCAATTATTAATGTACTACCAATTACGGAAGATGTAAACTTATTTTCGGATAAGCGAAACATCGGACTAATTATCTCAACCTAAAATCGCTGTAAAAACATAATCTCCTTATTTTCTACACTTAAAATATCGTCCTTCCATCCAATGTTTTTAAAAGATTATATTCAGGACGATTTTGCGAAAATGGAAAGTAGATATTTATAGTAATTGCGTTTCGCGGGCCAAAACAAATATGGCGTCTTTTTTTTTTAACATGATGATTAGAATTTCAAATATAGATTTTTTTCCACTCTTTTGCCAAATTATAAAGTTATAAAGTTTATATATATATATTTATATATATATATATATATATATATATATATATATATATATATATTGTAGTCAATATAATTTTTATTGATTTAGTTACCGAAAATATATAACAATGGGTATTTAAAACTGAATTCAGCATAGCATCACTGGGCATGTTATAAATAACACGCTGAATTTTATTTTAAATAAAAATGTCCATTTTACGAAAATTGCTTGACGTTTTACGGAAATAAGTAGATGTGAAATGTACCGATTTATAAATGTCTTCGCCCCAGGAAAATGCAGTTTGCATAAAAGGGACAAAAAACAAACATAATTAAAACCCATTGCCATTAAAGTAACAATATAAATAAATTGTGCAATACCTCTCCATATTAGTGAAAATTGAAAAACGACAATCACTTTAGTAAGGCAAACTTATATAGAAAATTCATTTCTATAAGAGAACGCTTTCAAACAACGTGTGAGAATTATTAGGATAGGTTAATAAGTTCGTGGATTAATGCAGTTGTTAACAGTGTAAAGGGATATTTTGTTTGAATATCTGTTTGTTTCCTTATATGCTTATGTACGTCTTGTTTATATGGTTTCATCTCGTCTTTGTCTCAGAACCCCGATGCTGATATCTATAAGTTAGTGCAAGATAATGGGGGCTAAATTTTTTATTGACACTTTGTGTAAATAATAATTTCGCTGTTCGCCACCAAAAGGAAAACATAACTTCTTTAATTTGTTGCCGCAATATAATATAGACAAGTGTTGTCTATTTATGTAAATTCTTTTCATAACGTCTGATAAGCTTTCGGCTTACATAAGCCATTGGTTTATACCAACGGATTCCCATACTTAATACTTCTCGAATTCACTCTCGCGTTGTCATGTGTGACGTCATGAACTGCGGTGCGATTTTCGCTTCTAGCGTCTTATATGCACGTGTTTATCGTTGCTTGGAAATCATCCATGTAAACAATAACAGACTATCATCACTGTCTTGTCCGTATATTGCTTAATATATTGTACAGTAATTGACATCTTGATAATGGCTTATGTAAGCTGAAAGGTTAGATTAGATTAAAAAATATGGATCAATATTGGGATTTTCTTTCTTTGTTTAATGATAATGTTAGTAAGCTTATCAGACGTTATGAAAAGAATTTACATAAAATAAATAGACAACACTTGTCTATATTATTTAAGAAACATATATATATATATATATATATATATATATATATATATATATATATATATATATATATAATGGATAATAATGGACTCTCCCGTCGGTTTCGACGTATGAGGATGTGACAGCTTAATTGATTCAGTTATGAGATTTTGTGCGATAATCTTAAGTGGCATTTAAGACCCGCTAGTGATTTACAAAGGAGGCCACATATGGAGCAAGAGTGAGTATTGTGAGATGAGGTCACTGTTAGATTGTCTGACCTTTTAGATCTTGCTCTCGATTCTTGAAGATGATTCATACAAGCAGACTGAAAACTGCTGAGTCCACTAAAACACGTTGCTCTCCATTCTACACGCTCCAAGGCTAAGCTCTCAAGGGCGTTATGTGGTATATTGACAGCTGACAATTTGCCTATCAGCTTGTCTTTGTATTTATATATATTAGGATCTTAACTAAGTTCTTGCTGTTTTCCAACAGATGGCGTTCCCATGACCGCGTGTGTGTCGTTTTGGATGGTAATGCATCTATAAGGAAATACTATAAGCAAGATTGTAATTCAGTTTATGTCATTAAAACAACTTTGTTTTTCATGACGTTAAACATGTCGGATTTCGTGCCAAAGAAAGTGTATTTGCGAGGAATTTTACTGCACTACTTTATTCAAAAGAAATCTGCAGCTGAAGCACACAGAATTCTTGTTGAGACTTACGGCGACCATGCTCTGTCGGAAATAACATGCAGAGATTGGTTTAGACGCTTCAAAAATAATGATTTTGATGTTGAAGATAAAAAAAATGCTCTGGCGCACCGAAAAAGTTTGAAGACGAAGAATTGGAGGCATTACTTCATGAAGACTAATGTCAAGCGCAAGCTGAACTTGCAGAATCATTAGGAACAGAACAGTTTTGAAACGTTTGAAAACATTAGGAATGATTCATATGCAAGGAGATTGGCTGCCGTACGAGTTGAAGCTGAGAGACCTCGAACGGCGTCTTGTCACGTGTGAACAGCTGCTTCAACGGTAGAAAAGAAAAGGTTTTTTGCATCGTATCCTGACCGACGATGAAAAGTGGATACACTACGATAACCCTAAGCGTAGAAGATCATGAGGTAAGCCCAGCCACGGATGAACATCGGCGGGAAAACCGAATATCCATGGTTCGAAGCTTTTGCTCTGCATTTGGTGGGATCAGCTGGGTGTTGTTTATTATGAGCCGCTCAGACCGACCGAAAATAACTAGTGATCGATATCGACGACAACTGATGTGATTGAGCTGTGCATTGAAGAAAAACGGTCGCTATACGAGCAGAGACACGACAAAGTGATTTTGGAACATGACAACGCTAGGCCACATGTTGCACAATGGGTGAAAACCTACTTGGAAACGGTTAAATGGGAAGTCTTACCCCACCCGCCGTATTCACCACACATTGTCCCGCCCGATTATCACTTGTTCCGGTCTATGGCACGTGGCCTGGCTGAGCAACACTTACATTCTCATGAAGATGCTAAAAAATTGGGGCGACTCATAGTTAACCTCACAAGACGTGTCGATTTTGACGTGGAATTCAAATGCTGCCGGAAAGATGGGAAAAAGTAGTGGCTAGCGATGGAGGCACGGTGGAGTAATGGATAGCGGCTTGGATTGAGGAATCGGAGAGCCGAGATCGAATTCCAGTCGAATCCATTACATTGGGAAACATGTGAATCCTCTTCTTCTCTCTCCAGCTATGGGTAAATAGCAGGACAGACTGGGTTCTATAGCCTTGGATGGCAACTGGTCTAGAAGAAGGAAAACTCTGAATTCAAAACCTGCGGAGGGTCGTTTGGAGACCGTGTGGCACGTAGTGCACCAGGTCTCTGTAATCGGCCCTTCAAAAAATGTGGCTGGTCCGGCACGAAACCTTCACCACTATAATCAAATCTCATGTACTATACATGCGTGTTGGGGACCGCTTGTGAATTCCAAATCCCCATGGAACTCCAATATTGGAGCCGGCTAAACCCACTTCGGGTGAATGTCGCTACAAGAACAAGAGAAGAACAATATTTTCAGCGATATGTTTCTTATTAATTTTTGTAAATAAAACATTACTTTTCATTCAAGTTCCGAATATATATATAATGTTTTTATCAAAAATACTTTCACAAACTTTGGTAGAGGGTTCCTCACATCAAAACAAGAACGAAAGTTTCCTCGGTCCATAGTTTGTGGTACCACGGATCCTCTCTCGGAAACGTGACGATAAACAGCAGCAAAAGTTGTATGACTCGGCTGCCTTCGGCCTTGAAACGCAATCTGATACAGCCGTGCAGCCTCGCGTCCATTAGCATTCGCGCGGCCGTATGTAAAAATCATATCTGACTTCTCACGATATGAATATCCTGCCATTGTTAAACTGAACACTTCTCAGTTAACTCACTACTACACACTTAAATGTTACTAACCACAAATGTACACGAATGACAAATGTAACCAACTCTACATAACAATGGATCGTAAAATTAAACTTAATAACTCTAAAAGGAAGGATTTGCGGGTATATATTTATATGGACTTTTGTCCTTGTTTTGTTGTGAGAAAGCTGCACCCCCATGTTTTTGAAAGTATTTCTAATACACCCTGTATCTGTCTATATTTCTGAAATGAGCTATTGTAAGTATATATACTATTTACATTGTTCTGACTGTTGTCCTCATCTTTATTGTCTCTGATTTCCAATTCCATGCTGTTATCCATTAGACCAACTGCATATGCAAGCTTACGGCACCTGGTATCCCCAAGCGGTCACCCACCTAGGTACTAACCAGGATCGATGTTACTTAACTTCTGTAATCGTACAAGAACTAGTTTTTCAACGTGATATAACCGTAAGCCTTTGTTGCAATGGAGTATATATGTTTTTTTTCTCACTAATTTGCACGCCGCAGGCAGCTAGGGTCAAATAGATTAATATAGAGAGACATCAAAATGGCGACAAATAATTGCGATAAATAAATCACACGAGTAATCGAGTTAAATTAACTTGGTCAAAAGTGACCGCGTTAAAATGAACCACAAGTAATTGATTTAAAATAAATTTCCCATAAGTAATTGCGTTAAAATCAATTGGCCACGAGTAATCGCACTAACATGAATTCACTGAATGTAATCGAGTCAAAATCAAATAGCCACAAATTATCGCGTTACATCAAATAGCTTAAAGTTATCGCGTTAAATTAAATTGACCTCAAGTACAAACATTAAACAGCGTAGTAAAAAGATAAATATTGGATTATACAATTCCTGACCATAAAATATCTGAAATCTTGGTTCCGGTTGAGCTTGGACTCATACTTACGCATACAAAGTTATAACATTCTCGCTCACTTTCATTGTTTACAGCAGCGCTTGGAATGAAAGTGTGTAGAGTGTGATCATCAGCATTGTTTACAGCAACGCTTGGAATGAAAGTGTGTAGAGTGTGATCATCAGCATTGTTTACAGCAGCGCTTGGAATGAAAGTGTGTAGAGTGTGATCATCAGCATTGTTTACAGCAGCGCTTGGAATGAAAGTGTGTAGAGTGATCATCAGCATTGTTTACAGCAGCGCTTGGAATGAAAGTGTGTAGAGTGATCATCAGCATTGTTTACAGCAGCGCTTGGAATGAAAGTGTGTAGAGTGATCATCAGCATTGTTTACAGCAGCGCTTGGAATGAAAGTGTGTAGAGTGTGATCATCAGCATTGTTTACAGCAGCGCTTGGAATGAAAGTGTGTAGAGTGTGATCATCAGCAGAGTGGTTTTATCAGTGACCATTTTTTGTGCAGTAGTTTTTTGGCCAAGCACAACATTACCTAGGTCCGACAATCACCATATTCCCCAGATCTCTCCGTTTGCGTTTTTTCCTCTGCTAAAACCAAAACCTACTTGTAAGAAACAAGATTTCACGACGTCGAGGAAACCCAAGAGAATGTAGTGAAAACAGCTGCTCGTTATCCCAAAATGGTAGTTCCAGGAATGCTTCTATCAATGGAAATGATGCTGGATAAAGTGTGTAGTTTCAGAAGGGGGCTACTTCGAAGAAGATTAAATTCCGAATTGTTCTGCGTTGCAATTTCTTTTTATAGCACCAACCCCGATACTTTTCCAGACCCCATACAAGGGAAAATAATGACTTATAATAATTCAGAATAAACTTTATTTTAAACAAATAATTCATCATCAAAGTGCGAATACGGAAAGCAAAATATCTCTTTTCATCGGTGAAATGAACAAAAGAATAGCAAACATCTATGAAAATGGGTAAAGTGCCGGGAGGGCAAAGGATTCGATCGCAGAACTCCAGGGGTAGGCATATTCCTTCTTTATACAATTGTTTTCCTTCTAAATAACGTATTAATTCTTCGGTCTTCTCTGTTTCAGAAAAAAAGGTACCGTACTTTCTTGTGCATAATACGAGATGTTTTGAACGAAAAATAATATCAAATAAGTTGGCGGGTGTCCTATTGTACACAATGACACGTTTTCAGAAATTTCTGCTCAGCTAAAAAAAACACTTATTTGAAACGGCAAGATTGCGTTTTTGCTCACTGTGGAAATAAAATAAGCACGTCCCATCTCTTCTCTCATTGGTAACCATCCATAAAAATAAAATAAACGTTTTCTAAGCACTAAAGCAGAAACACTAATCCGGTTAAGTTAGTCACTCTTTGTTTACCTAGTTAATGTGAGTAAATGTAGTTACTGGACTGTTCCGGGCTCTCTTTTCTTATGACCCATGTCGAGATTACCAGTCCACACCTAGTTTGTTTTTTGGGGACATTTCTTTCATCGCGACTGGGTCAGCATTTTGTTTTTTTCCTCCACTCCTTCAGTTTTATGTGTTTGTCTTTTTATATACTTCTCTCTCCGTTAGTGAGTCTGTTTCTTGATTCTGACTAAAGGCAGAAGACAACGGCCACTGTTATTATTTTGTGGGGGTGGTTGTGTCCCGCTTACATCTGTTATGTTTAGTTTGAATGTTTTGCTATACTTTACTTTCGTTTCTGGGTTCATCCTCTCCTATCTCATTTCATGAAAATATATTTTTATATATTTAAAGAAAAACTGGAAAAAAGAACCATTTGAATATTTGTACATATTGAAATTTTATATCATGGAGTTTTTTTAGGTTACCTGTGCATTTGTGGTATTGTGGTATATATAGTATTGAATGGTGAGGGATTAGTTTTTATGGTGAATGGGTAAATTGTAATGAATGAATATGGTCGTGAATCAGATTAGCTAGGTCTAGGATAGAAAGTGTATTTCCCCAATTCTTCTTTGGCCTTGTGCCACAATTGTTTTAATTAAAATAATAAATATATCTTACACTCACAAGATAAATTTTGTTTCTATTTTGATTTTCTTATTATTTTTTTTTATTTTTTCTCTTCATTCTTAATGAATGATATTTATTTTTTTTTTGTTTATTAATATGTAGAAATAATATAATACAGCCATATCAACCAGAAAAGTATGATAGATTAATTAACCTCTCAAAGAATGGCGGTGTAAGGGAGAGCGGCTTGGATTGAGGAATCCGGGAGTCGAATTCGAATTCCAATCGAGTTTATTACATTCACTTACGTGCTGATACACTTGGGAAAGACATGTAGCCATCTGTTCCTGAACCTCTCTAGTTATGGATAAAATAGCAGCGTATATTGGGTCCTATATTAAAAAAGCCGGCCTGCAACGACGTTGTAGTGAGATGCTATGGGCTTGAATTTTCGGCCAAACCATTATTGGATATTTTTAAGCCGATGAAGAACTGAACACTGCTGACTATTGCGATTTCATGGACAAGACTTTCTTTGAATGATACAAGTCCTAGCCTCACAGTTTTTAAAGTGAAGTGTGTATCTATGCAGGACAATGCTACTTCTCATGTATTTAGGATGCCCGTAAAGTTAATAGTGTAAAAGGTTTACAAGAGGAAATGACAATCTGAATCCAATCGAATTGCATGGTAACCAGTCTAGGAGAAAAAAAACCCTGGCAAAAACAGCCTGGATAGAATTAGGCGCCGTCAGCATACCTTTCCCATGGAACACAGCTTCTGCAACGGCTGAACTATATGTGGTGCCCCTAATGTGTTACGGGACACGTGATAAAATGGATTACCGGCTATGTCTAAATTATGCGTATCCTCGAAAATAAATTTTGAAATTTAGAAGAAAAACGTAATGGATAAACATCCGGTTCATTTCTATTCTTTAACATCGTGAAAAATTAAATATTTTAGGGAAATCTATATACTGTATTGATATGTTAATGAATAATATGGTAGAACTTTAAAAAAATACCTAGAGATGGCTGTATTACTGGGTCGTGATATACACAAGAACGTTATTAATTCCCAGTTTTTAGCTTAATACACAAGAAAATGCAGTAAATAGGTAGAAGTGTCGTACATTTTATCTTCAGTGTGATCTGATTTAGGAGGTGGTGTGTTGTGTCTATCTGTCTCGAATAAATCACCTTGGTATAAGAGAGTGCTTATCTTCAGTTCACATCCGAATTACCTCAGAGAGTTTCATTCATAAAACAATTGTCGTATACGGAAGGCACAGGTCCAGCAGGGATTCTTAACCCGTGTTACGCGTACCATTGAACGTTACTGATCAAGTCACTTGCGCCTACAATGCTTAACTCTTCTTTTATGATTAGATGCTCGCTAAACCTCTATACATTTTTCCCGACAGAAAAAGAAAAGTTGCTTTCTTAAATCGCTCCTCAACTTAGATGGCCTGGTGGTTAGCAAGTGTGTCTTGCTAGCCTAATTAAGACCGAATAATGAGTTCGATCCACGTTGGGTGCTTTGTGCCACATCTAAGTTACGTTTAGTAAATAAATTTTTGTGCATTTCAACTTGGCGTTATTGTAAGGAAGCGTATCTCTCTCGATCAATTTCGATACTCTGGGAAACACATACTTTCGGCCTTGTACCACAACTAAACTACCCTTATTCAATCAAAAATACTTATCTGAATTTTGCCGAATAAGTTTCAAAATATTATTAGCTCGATCTGCAGGGTCAGTACACCCAGGAATTATCCCTTTCTTCCGGAGAATTTCGACTGAATCGTGAGCTCGATCTAGCTAGTTGCTCGATACTTACGGCCTGGTTCCACATGTAAACGACGCCAAGTAAATCACTAAATTGTGATAACCCTTTACGATAGACGTAAAATACTTTTTCAAACAAAATAGTATTTTTACGACGCTCGTAAAGTATTTGTATTTCCTTACAATTAATGAACGCTTTCAGTAATGTATCGTTATTGTTTCGAGAGGGCGTCAGTGAGTAAACTTCAAAACGAGGCAATTTCTAATTTTCTTACTTTATTTGTACTCTGTTTATACATTATTTCTCCTGTTCATATTTTTATTCGGACATTAAGTCCTATAATTTATCTCCTTTTATTACGTTTCATGGTATTAATGGACCTTCCTCCAGGGCCATTTCGAATATTTTCAATACGTGAGAAGCATTTTTAAACTATTGTGCTATTGTTTCCTTGTTATCAGTCGTTTCTTAATAGCTGTGCTTCGCAATGTTTTGGCTACATTATATTCCAGTTCATACAAAAAGAACAGCTTCGTACAAATCTAGATACAGAGAGCGGTGGATAAATTGTCGTCTAAATTACGCAAAAATGAAAATAACACTGACATCTAATTTTAACAGATATATTTACCAAAAATACACAAAAATATTTTGAAATACTAAAGAATAAATTTATTCAATAAAATTGCCATTGGCTTCAACCACGGTCTTCGGAATCTCTTGCATTCTTCAGGACGGTCTCCTTGTTTAATCTGATGAATTCTCAGAAATTAATCACCAT